TTTTCCCCTGCTCTTTTTTGTTTCATTAAATCGTCAGCCTAGTTTTATTGCATTTTGTGTACATGGTGGCCCTCTTTTGGGTCCATGAAGGGCTACGGCTTAGTTCAGACTTTATATTTAGTGAGTTATGAATTCGTATCTTTCTCAATTTAAGAGGAGCTTCCCCCTTTCTCTTTTCTGCATTTTGTTTGGTTTTAAATCTAGTATCATTCTTGGATCTTCAGAGTTATTTTAATTAACAGAAGCATGAATTAACTACACATTAGAGCCAGTACAGGTTACAGTAAAGATGGAGCATTGGACGAAATTTTATTTCCTATTCGTGGATAGATTCCAAGTAGTTTTTTAAAGAGGATGGAGATCTTGAGTAAAGAAAGGGCATGAATGTATTTGTCACACTCAATCTGCCTAACATTGTGGGGGATCAGTTTTGGTAACTTTTTTTTCCATTTTGGTGCTGGCTTGAACTTCTTAGTGTTTTTGTTGGCTTTAATATACTAGACCATGTATATAGATGGAGTAATATTAGTACCAAGGTAGCCGCTTGATTCAAGAGTTGTTAGATAATGCTATATATCTTCATTTGAACTTCTAGTGTGGATAGTTCAATAGTATACTTTCATTTAAAGTTGGGATAGCTTGTAGTTTGTGCCACAAGACCTACCACCTACCATTGCTTATGATGGGAGGGTCGCCTCTGTGCCAGTTATATTATTGTACTCTTAGCTCGTTTTCTGGTATTCGATTGATACAATGTTGCTCGTACTATTTTTCTTTTTTACAAAAGGATGAGTGAGATCTCACCAATTTTATTACTATACTCTTGGCTCTTGGTCTGGTATTTTATTGATACAATGATGCTTGTACTATTTTTCCTAACAAAAGATAATTGAAATCTCACCAATGTATTTTCTCCTGTAGGTATGTCCTGCCTGTAACGCCGAGGTATCAACATCAGAGAACAAGTAGAGATCTGCATAACCTGATGAAGAGACCATCGTCTTCTGGAGATGCTTTTAAGGAGATTACTTCTATAGAAAAACACCATAAAGATGTCCCACCTATCAATGCATCGCAGTTGGTGCGACTTCCATATATGTTACAGTATAATGGAACCCGTTATCATCTTTAATGTGGTAAAACCTTTTCCTTGTTTGATGTTCTAATCAACACACCACAAAATTGTACGATTATTGTTATCCATAATTGTAACTGGAATTCTGAGTTCAGTGACCATCAAACTCGAGATGTGGATGCCAGGTATTATCATATTTTTTTCACAAATCGAAAACTCAAAATTAATGGCTTGCTCCATCTATTTTTGTAATTTTGTTTTCCTAAAATCTTTGTGTAATTGGAAGGCTTCGCAACATGGAAGACATGGGAGGGGAGAATGGCTTTGCCATGCAGAAGAAGAGCTTCATCCACGGAACAATACCAAGGTACTTACAATCCCAGATTACATTAGAACAGCAGTCACAATAGTCTCCTTTCTCAATGTCAATGCACACACGACTGGAACTAATTCAAATGTGTCCCACTCATGAGCTTTTCATGTCATCAACAATCCAGAGATCAACTATAAGCCTCTTCAGCACAGCCTATTCTGGACGCCACAGTATCTTCATACACCACTCTCTGATTCTTCTGCTGATAGTTCCCGATGATGCCGACTTGGCCGTCGAACTGAAGACTAGCGATCGCCAAACAAACCTGAGAAGCGTCCTTCTTCACCAAGTAGAAGATGCCGGTGACGTCCACGTTAATCTCCGCGCCGCCCTCGAATCCAAACCTCACCTTGGGGAACCTTCACCTCCTCGTATGCCGACAGGTTGAAGCAGGTATCCAAGATTGAGAAGCTCGGCGCCGGCGGATAGCCTGAGAACTGCCTCACGAACTCGGCCTTCAGCGTCTGGTGATCACCGTGCCCGAATCGATGAGGGTTCTGCCGTTGGAGAAACCGGCGGCATCGAGTGGCACACCGCCGATGCTCGCGCCGGTGCGGTTGAGGAAGTAGAATGGCGCTTGCCGAGATATGATACCATTCGAGTGTCCGAGACCGGCGTGGAGTTCTTGTAGAGAGCAGGATCTTGATGAGTTGAGGATTCTTGTGGGGAGGCAGTAGGAGAAGAATCGGCCGAATTGAGAGGTGGTTTGGGAGACCAGAGAGAGCTGAGTCCTGCCGAGCCCCATGAGACCGAAGGTTCCGGAGGCCGCAGCCGAAGATGAAGCCCCCGATGCTCGTCCCACCGATGTCGATCCTCTCGCGGCCCAGCACGCCGTGAGTGTAGGAGCCATCTCTGCAGCTGAGGGCGTAGTTGCAGGTCGACCGGTCGGCGCCACAGACGCCGGCCTTCCCGGTGGCCGCCTGAAGCAGGGAGTAGCCGGTGGTGGAGTTGCAGGTGATGCTGTGGTACGAAGGCGAGGCGGAGGTGTTGAAGAGGCGTCCTGTTGGCTGTAGCAGGAGGGAGCAAGGCTTGCATTGGACCCGGGTGAGGTCGTCGCCAGAGTCGACGACTGTCATTTGCTAATCAATTTAATTATTAATTGATTTACTTCATATGAATTTTACATAGTGAATTTTAAACATTTCATTTTTATGTGTGCATCATGATAAAATAAAGATTATATTTTTAATACATAATTTAATCCTAATAAGATACGATCTAATCTATGTAACTTGACATGATCTAGCTCATGTAGTCACAAATAATCCAACTCATGTAGTCATATAGCAATCAGTCTATATTGTAAGGTACGATCAAACTCATATAATCGAGTATGATCTGACTCATATGAGTTAAGCATAATTAAGTTTAATGATAAGACTTAGTATAGCCCGTTATACCTCAATCGAATACATTATTTTTATAAACTAATATTACTCTTACTCACTTTGTATGTAAAACAAATTGAGATGTTATATAATCACATGTTGACACTTATCTGATTTTAGCAACTTCATATATATATATATATATATATCCATTTTATTTTATGAAGCCATAGGATGATGATGACGATATATAGAGCTAAAAAGGATAGGGAAGAAAACACAAACGCATACCAAACAGAGTTCTTTATTTTTTCCTTTGTCAGATTCATTAGAGACTTCGATCGTCATTCGATATCGAGACCATACATAACCCCAGCATATCTGTCTATTGATCCATCAAAGTGCTTCTCCATCAGCTTCCTAAACGCCCGAGCAGTAAGCAAGCTATCTGACCCAGCCTGGTGGCAAGTCCCCACCCTGTCGACCTCCAACTGCTCGGCTACCTTGTTTAGCCCCCCGTGGAGGCTGTTTGAGAACCTCATCAGGTGCTTGATGTCGTACATGACCGGGAAGAACGTCCTGATGAGCTCCGAGAACCCTTCTCGGGTCTCAGGAAGCCTACGGCAAGTTAGGATTTTTAGGAGGTACCCGAAGTCGTAAGCACAGTGGAAGGTCACCCAGCGGACGGAATCATTGAGGACAACGCCGGACGCCATGAAGAGCTCGGCGAACCGGTTGGCATCCACCCCGTGCTCCCGATTCCTCTTGAAATCGATGTCGGACTTCCTGAGGAGGTCGATGGAGTCGGGGTTGCTGATGTCACGGTCAACGTCGAACTCCCTGAAGTTGAACTGCCACACGATGGGGCGGCCGCCGGTGGCGGTGGCCGGGAGGTTACCTTCGGCGTCGGAGAAGGTGAGGCCGAGCTGGATGAGGTGGAGGAGGTCGACGTTGGCGCGGAGGATGTGGTAGTTGCTGTCGGCTACGGTCTTGAAGTCGCCAAGGGGGCGGATGGCGACGCCCGGAAACTCGGTGTCCATGGCAACGAAAGGGAAGTCGTCGACGACCTCGCGGATCACGGCGAACTCGGCTTCGAGGTTGTCGGCCCAGACGTCGCGGATCTCGACGCCGGCGTCATCGTCGCTCTTCGACATAGGTTAGGGATCGGGTGGGTTGCGGGACGGAAGAGGTGGTGCATAAGAAATCCTAGATCTCGGTAAGGAAGCGGATCGAAACCTAAATTGGCAGAGGGGAACGAGATCTGAGACCAAGACGAAGCTATTTGTAGATCGAATTACGATCGGAAGGAAGAGGGAACGAGGACGATTAGGGTTCTTGAAGGCGATCGATGTTGCTGAAGGGGAAAGGGCAGAAAGAGAAAAACTGTTCCTCACAGTTCTCGTGTCGGTGACGAAAAGAGGGGAACCGTTTCCGCCCACAAGAACCGCGTTTCCGCCATCCTCTTCGGATTACACGGCTCGCTGGGATGCCACGGTGTGGCTTTAAGGAGAGAGCGAGCGGAGGAATGGGCGTGCCGTGTCCCGCCGGAACTGGTTAACTGGTACAAGCCCGACGTAGTTATTTTCTTCCCACCCACAAAATATGCAACCCTCGTGATTGGTGATAGGATCGGGCCCCATTGGTAACTCATGTGGGGCAAGATTCTGCGTATATATATATATATATACCTGCGCATAAACTGAGCATGAAGACTGTCGTATGCTTTGGTCATGAAGAATAAGGCCACGTAGCCGATCATCCTATATCACAAGTCAAAATTAAAAAAAAAAAAGTCAACCCAATGGGAGAAAGCAAACACATCAACATAATACGTACCTATTTCAAATCAACGAGAAGGATACAAGGCTTAAGAATGATCGAACAAAGACCAACGAGAGAAAGCAAACAGTCAACCCAATTAGAGAAAGCAAACACGTCAACATAATACGCACCTATTTTAAATCAATGAGAAGGATACAAGGCATAAGAATGATCAAACGAAGACCAACGAGAGAAAGCAAACAGTCAACCCAATTAGAGAAAGCAAACACGTCAACATAATACGCACCTATATCAAATCAATGAGAAGGACACAAGGCTGAGGTGTAGAAGTCTCGGTTGTCCTTGGAATATCTTGTCAATATCATCAAGAGTCTTGCCCATTGAGTCATCCTTTTCTAGTTGATCTGAGACAATTTGGACAAAATGGAAATAGAAAGAATGATCAAACAAAGACCAATTCAGACTAACACCAAAGACATTAAGGACCTCTTTTACAAGACTTGTTTGCTCATTCCAGCGTTCTTATTCCACTACTATACTGCTTGTTCACTCAACAATTCAGATATCATCAAGTGTGTAGTCCCCATTCGAATTGTGGGAGGCTGAAAAGCAGGTTAATGGCTTTACAGTTCACATGCTACATTCACAAATTGCATTCGAAGCCGAAACACTAGAGAACAACTATATTCATTAACTTCATCTTTGCGAAAGCTAGCCACCACTTGTTAGGGGTGCCATTAGGCCGTTAAGCACAGTTAGGCAGCCTTCCACTTGTCTCCTCTCTTATCTGCTTCGAATAGTTCCTGAATAGCTCTGCAGTTCCACAAATTGATGTTGATGTTAAATAATATAGTTAAGAACGTTCCATATGCACATTTATGTATTTAGATAAAAAAAGAACTCGAGTTAGTTGTTTTAAGCCAATTGCTATGTAGTATCAGATGATGACACGAAATAATGATAGCTTTGTTTTAACCCAAATTAATGATAGCTTTGGTCCCCGCAGCAAGATTTCTGCAACCCTCAAGCCGTTTCAGAGCCACAATGATTGGAAGACATTTGCACGAAAATTTTAAAGAAGACATTTGCTCGAAAGAAAGTTATTGCCTCATCAACAATGTTGATTTTGTCTGGAAAGATGTAAATGCTAAATGAGTGAAAACTCACGGAACAAAATTCAGATATTACAAACAACTAAGGGACATGAGCCAACCTTGATCTGAGACAGGAGCCGGACCCTTAATATGAGTTTTCAATGGAAGAAGGGGGCAACCGCAGGCTTTCGTTATCCCTTCTTCATCAACAAAACTAGAATGATAAACCTGCCACAGCAGGATAACATTAAATATTATGGTGATTACCAGCAACAAAAGAACAACTTGTTCATTAAACAAGATTCAATGATCCAAAATGGAGAAACTTAGCCATCTCCCATGAGGATGAATCTGAAAAATAAAAGAGCTTATCACCATGACAAAGTTCAGTGCTAGTTGTTATGGTAAAAGAAGTTACCTATGTTTCTTTTGTCATGAAAATTGCGTTCTTGCTACTTGTCAACTGAAGTTCCCCTCCAGTAGTTTATACTTTATACCTCTTCGCCTCTAACTATAGGATCATCATGTTGTACGACCATGTGACCCTTACAAGACATTCAAGTGTTCACATCAAATTGTTTCTCCATCCAAAGATTTTATTAAAGAGTCAAATATCATTTTATCACAACACTATGAGTACTGTACATATTACACTTCAAGTTTGCTTTAACTAATCAAGATTCCAGAGACATGGAAACATAAAAACAACAAAAAAAATTTAAAGTTGTTACTGAATCTGTGACTTTTCTATTTCAACCTCACGTTACCTTAACACAGGTACATCCACGAATTTGACACCCCCAAAGATGTCAACACAGAAAAAGTTTTCCATCTCAACCAACACATATACTGCCTACTGTCTGTCTCACAATGTTAAATAAATAATAAATAGTTTCTGCATTGGCAAGGAATTTTCTGTACCACCATTTTATGTGTTTGAACTAGAATGATACACTCTCAGGCATTGCCTGTTTCACACTCATGGAAAGTAACCTTGAAGTTGATAATCTCAATTCACTGTTTTTTAACTCATTGCAATACATAAAATAACATCAGTTCTTAATGTAATCATTCTTTGACACTTCAGATTCTTGGTTAAGGAGGTTTCTTTTTAAAAAATCAAACAAATTTAGTATTTACTTCCATGAAACTCAAATATGATGCATTTCAATCCATCTCTTGACATGCCCAAAGGCATCGCCTTCATTTACAATTGATGCATTCACTGACTATCCTTTAAAAGTCACATAAAAATCACATACATAATTCGCCCAACAAGCTATTTCAATCCATCTCTTGACATGCCCAAAGGCATCGCCTTCATTTACAATTGATGCATTCACTGACTATCCTTTAAAAGTCACATAAAAATCACATAAATAATCTGGATAAGCAAATCTCTCTCATTGTCAAAAGCATGGATCCAAGCCTGGTTCTGTCTCCAAATACAATTCTGAAAAAAAAAAATTCTATACGCAACATCATCATATTTCCACCTGGGCAATCTCTTTTGCTTTCCCTTTTGCTCCTCATTTCAAGGCACAAACATAAGCAAGAGCAAGAAATCTAGGCATAGGACAAATCCTCCAAACAAAATGTGTACAAATCTATGAACAGATAATTATTTAGCGAAAAAAAAAATCAATTATCACATGATCCAATGATATAATTGAGATAGGAGGATCAGAAGCAGATCTAACAAGAGCAAGACCGAACGAAACACCCCAATAGATAATCTAATAAGAAAATTTTCGATCGAGCAGAGGGAGAAACAAGAGGTACCGTTTCCTTCTTCGATCGAGTTCCGGGTTACGAGATCAAGCGAGGACACAAGAGATATCGACAGGCAGGAAGGGGGAACAAGAACTCCGGGAACCTTTCGGAACGCCGTTCCTTTACTTGGTGGAGAAGGTGGAAAGGTAATTTTGCTCCGACACCCTTCAACTCTTGACAAATCATATAGTGTATGTGCTCGCTTTTTGCTTGACGTGTAAACGGATCGGGTCAGAGTAGCCCCGATTGGATCCGATAAATAAAGGATGCAACCTTCGTTTACCACCAAGGCCTGTCTGTATCAGATTATATTTTGGTTGAATTGACTCAGACCAGACTCGAACCCATCTAAGTTTGATTCAATTATCGCATATACTTGTGGAAACGTGCATGTTTCACGAACCGTGTTGATAACTTGAGTGCTAAATTGACTATAATTTGAACAAAGATAATAGAGCATATCAACCTGCATCCATCTTGGATAATGAATAAAGATAAAAGCAATAGGATGTGCAATCAAATCAATCTTAAGTCTAGAATTAGAATATAGTTGGATAAACTATGAAAAATAACACTGTAGAATTCTACAAAACAAAATGTTATCTTGCCTATGAAAGCAACCAATACCCATCACAAGATCATTTCAAGACTATAATTCCGGTGAATTGGTTTCACTTGCAATGAATAATAGAAAAGGATGGTTCATAATTTAAAATGGGTCTGAAGAAATTCTTGTTGACATCGGCCAACTAATAACCAAACCATTAGATGTGTGTACCAAACTATTTCTGGAACAAATATGATGCAATCTAAAACATCTGTTGCTCATCTCAAGCACCATTAAGTCATTACACGATAGCATTTGCTGCACTAGCAATTCTTGGCCACAGATCGGCACATTCCTTCCCGATGGGTCCCGTGATAGCAGATCCTGTAATAGTCAAGACGATTAACCAAGTGTTTATGTTCCAATACTCAAAACAAAGATCATATGTGAGCGAGATCCTGAAAACACTATAGATTAAATTGATATTGCAGTTTGACTAACCATATATCGGTTTTTTTATAACATTGCCGCTTATAGATTTTCACAAAAAAGATTTAAGAATACACGAGGCTTATTTTTAATTATGTACTTCGATTTCTCATGTTTTAACTTTTAAAGTGAAAAGATTACCCACGATATTGATACATACCTTTCATTTCTCCCTTCGGATTAACAATGACTCCAGCATTATCTGTATCATTCAAAGGGTAAAAGCATAAGATACCTTGAAGTGTGCAAACCTAAGTAGGATCGCATATAAAACAACTACAAAAATCCCTCAAGTTACTGCTATCTCAGTAGAATATTAAGAAAATTCAAGCAAGATAATGTCAATTGTCAAACTTATTTAGTAACAATTCGATTTTGAGATGAAATGGTCTATTGTAGAGAACAGGGATTACAATAAATGCAAAATCATTATCACCCAGCGACGTTAATAGGTGTTTCACGCTCGCCTAGGCGCTCGAGTGAGACGAAGCATAAGTTCCTCGATGGACCCTAGGTGAGATGCCTCAACTTGGTGTCGCAGAGACAAGCACTGTAGTTGAAGCACTGGACATTCTAGGTGCTCATCTCGGTTAAGCCAAGCGATCCAAACTCCTCTAACCAATCCAAACCTAATTTCCCCCTCTTCCCCTCCTCTCCAAATCCAATTCTGACCCAATCTAAACCTAATCCCCCTACACGATCCAATTAATTCTCCCACCCATCCATCCCTAAAAATTATGCTCTACCCTACTATTGACTTTCCACGGCCACCGCATCTCCTCTCTTCGTCCACTGTATTTCTCCTAGTCCCTCTCTTCCATCCTGTTCTCCCTGCCCCTCCCCTCCCAATGAAATCTGCCACGGCTGACCTCTTGTCTCTTGGTTTCCCTCTCCCTCTTCTTCTGAGGGAGAGAACATGTGACATGATTTACTCGAGTGAGTGCCACAAGCAATAAGGGACCTTGGAGCTTTACAGCACCTAGCGCTTTTGACAACTCTATTATAACAATTATAGAAAATGACTTGGCAAAACCAAACCAACAATATCCCAAATGACTTAGGACTTAAGCATATGATATATACATAAACAACATCACAATGATCAAACATTGCAGACTCAAAGATAAGAGAAACATTCAAGGAATTGAAACCAGGATTTCTAAAGACTTGCAAGGGAGAGTGTCATCAGCAGATACAAGAAAGAACCTTGAGAGCACCAGACACCTACTGATGAAGTCTACTTTAGTCATCCATCACAAAGGAATTCCAATATCACCTTGAACAGATGTCACTTGGAGGCTCATTTACATGAACCTACGCAATTGCAGTTTAGACAAGTATCTCAAAATTCTAGAGCATTAAGACTTGAAAACTTGATAATTTATTTCAAATCCAAGTACCAGAATAAGATTGACCCTCTTTGCTCAAGAGCACTTCTGTGCATTTTTAGTTGTCAACCATCTGAAGTTCCATGAGAAAAACCAGCCAGTTCCTTCGGAACACGATCAGAGAATTCTTATTCTCCAACATAAGATGAATTTTCGACCAATTAAAGACCCAAAATTTTGCATTATTGCCAATTTTACGGGTAATGATCAAACGTAATTGAGAATGAATCATAAGATTGAACTAAACTTTTCAAGTAAACCAACAATGAGATGTGCTTAGCACCTCTAGCTGAACTATGCTTCTATGATCTCAAATTTCTAGATCGATCCATAACAAGAGACAATAGTTCCTATATACTAAAAGAGATGTTCGATGGAAATAGCTCAATACCATCCATCCTACTACATGTAATCATCAAAAGGCATTCTCAATTCACCATATTATCAGACAAGTTAATATGTGCAATAGGCCAAGAGCATTGAAAGGGTCACAGATTGCAAACCGAGAGCAACCAACGCACCTTCGAAGTACATATAGACGCCGTCCTTTCGGCGCCAGGGCTTGCGCTGGCGGACGATGACAGCGGGCATGACCTTCTTCCGGAGATCAGGCTTCCCCTTCTTGACGGTGGCCATGACCATGTCTCCGACGCAGGCCGAGGGCAGGCGGTTGAGGCGGCCCTTGATCCCCTTGACGGAGATGATGTAGAGGTTCTTCGCCCCCGTGTTATCGGCGCAGTTCACCGTCGCCGCCACCGGCAGAGCCAGCGACATCCGGAACTTGTTCCCCGCCGTCCCTCCACGTCCTGCAAATCCCGGTACAACAAATCCCAATCAAACATCTCACACCGCCACAGATTCTGGATCGCGAAGGGTCCATTGATGGATCTAGCAGTAGTGGTGGAGACGGAGAGGTTACCTCGCTTCGACATCTTGGAAGAGCTCGCGGGACGGCACCGCAGAGACCACTTGGTAAAGCAAACTTGGAACCCTAGGGTTTTCGGTGACGATAATAACCTTGGGAAAGGAGTAAGTGGGCCGGTGGGCTTTGTTCATTGGCCCGTTACAGTGGGGCCCAGTGGAATGGATTGTTCTCCATTTGCTAAAATAGCAACAAATGTCATTGTTTTATTTAGATTTTTGTTGGTAATAAACAATTACTCATCTTTATTTTTTCTTTAATCTTTGTTGTAAAATCAATTCTTTGATGTGTTCTTGAAATTTTACATGTCATCTTAGTAAATGTATAAGCTTTTCAAATATGAAGTGGATTATATTTATTCTTTTGTTAAATAGTTTAAGGATTATTGGATAAATATTCATTACATGAAATTCTTATTTTCTTAGATTGTTATATATTATTACAAGTAAGAAATAATCAAAATCATTTGGAAGTTGAATTCATAAGATAGAATTAATAGTGATATAGAAAAATGATATTTGACATATTATCGACACCTCAATATCGACACTATGTTGTTATATTAAAGATGGATATTTGAACTAATAAAAGAATCATTAAATGATTTCGAGATATTAGAATTTGATAAATAATTAAATTCATAATAATATATGGTTAACTTGACTAATTGATCTACGTTTCGAAGAGAAAAAATAACTTGATTGAGAGAATTTCAATCGAGGATAGAAAATATCAGTATTTTGCATCTTATATCTTATTTCAATCAAATAATAAAAAATATTTGTAGCTAATATAATGATAAAAAAATACTCATATCTTGTATATATTTTGTTTATTTCAGTCAAGTTATTTTTAATTTATTAATTTATTAATTATATACAAAGATCTTAAATTTAAATTTTAAATGAAGAAATATATTAAAAATTATTTTATATAATATAAATTTTATAATTATCAACTTAAGAGAAAATATTCCTCTTGTGTGGTATACTGTACCATCATGTGCTAATTAATATGACATCTCCAATAGATAAATATGGATTTTTAATTTGTCAAAAAAATAATAACCATATGAGTATATAACTATTTGGCTTCTTTGTTTGCTATCATATTTATAATCATAAAGAGCAGATAATTAATTGGCCATAGGTGGCACACTATTGCAAAAGCCTTTATTTTCTCCATACCATTAAATTGAGTGTCCCTCTCCCTAATTATGGTTCACCTTTTGCTTTTCCCTTTCCTTTGCACCCCCAGCTTGCTTTTTTGATGAACTAGGAAGATACCATGGCCACCACAGTTCATCAGTCATGGAGATTGACTCAAAACAAGCATTATCATGGTCATGTCTACACCAACATTGAATGGTCAGAATAAGAATTAAGAATTGCCTAATACTCCAGCTGGAGAACTTGCATTATTGTATGGCAGTGGCTGCTCTATAGAAATAAATTGACATGTGATTCATCATTGGTTGATATAATATTATATCAGCACAGCTGCTCATCTCAATGTCATCAAGATTTGTGTAATGAAAAAGTTTATTGATCACTAAAACACCAAAAGAAGAGCTCATGAATCATCATCCCATGTTCAGCATTTCATGTGTAATAATTAAAATTTATGTTTGTTTTCTTGGCAAAGGACAGCCACTCAACAAACATTATGAGAACATTTCAAGCAGGCCCACTGATGAGATGGTCCTGAGTTAGAACAAAGATAAGCTCTTGGACATGGGTTCAATCATGACTGACCCTCCCAAGGTAAAATACTGAGGGAGGGATAACACCAAAGCTACAGTGAATTCACATGGCTAAGTAATTGTGTCTAATTCTTTTTCTCCTAGTAAAAATTGTGTGGCTCGTTAGAATCTCTTTGGCTTCTATCGATCTGTGTAATATTTTTTAGTGATCTCTTTTTGTTGGTAATGCATTTGTTGGACATTTTGGTGCATACTTGGTGATTTTAATTATTATTTTTAGTCCTATGATAAAAGAGAGGAATATCCTTTTGTTGTTAATATACCTATTCGATGTTATTTAGAATTTATTGCTACTTGTAGGTGGACTAATCTTGTATTTATTGGATCTCATTTTACATGGACTAATAATAGAAGTATTAATATTAGCCTTGATCGTGTATTTTCAATAATTATTTGTTGAATTAGGTTTTTCATTAAGCATATAGTTTGTTTAAATCATTATTCTTTATTCTTTTCAATGATTTTTAATTGGCATTCTAAATATCAAAATTTTATTTTTAAAATTTTTAGATGGATTTCATATGATTGTTAGATCCGATTAATCATAACAACACTAACCTTGCCCCTTAGCACTTTGTTTCTGATCTTGTTGAACTGAGATTCCCTCGAAACTAATAACAATTTGGACACATAAGCTATCGAGGTTCAGAGCTAGGTTTTTATTCTCGAGGATAAAGACTCTCGATCTCACCTTACCGATTGTGAATCTTTTAAACATGCTTGCTTTTATAATCGCTCGAATGCTATTCTTAAGTAAATCAATTTTAGGTGATGGACCTTAGTTAAGACTCGTTGAATTAAAGATGAGAAATATATTATTATTATTATTATATTATTTTTAAGCATAAGTAGAACCTTATTAAGTCCAGTCGGATCGGAATTTTTTTATTAATTTTTTTTACCCACCATGTAGACATCAAGATTTTTTTTTATTAATTTCTATAAATAATTTTGGACCCAACAATCAATTCATGTTTTTTTCTCATATGTCTGGTCTTCCATATTATGCATCGATGATTCCTTGTATAATTTTTTTGATTTATCCTTTTAATCGATCCAAGATTTGGTACTCCATCCAATCTCATCAGGAATGTTTGGGCTATGATAAAAAATTATAGTTTTGTCATTGAATCCCATCATGGATGTTGAAAAATACTGTATATGATTTATTGTAGACGACCTACGATCACTTCTACTATCCTTCATACATCAAATTTTTTATTATTTTTATTTCAAAATATCAAAATTCAACTACAATTGTTGGTTTCATATTGATTTCGCTATGTAATGTTAATTACTATATTCTTTCTAAGGTTAATCGCATAAAATATTTGTTGCCTATCTTTACGTCATTGTGACTGTCCTTTATTTGATATTGATAATCTTAGTCCTTTCTCCTTCAAGCATAAATTCAAATTATTGGGATCACTTGATATACATGATATTTTGTTATATTTTCTTTCCTCAATCTACCAACATTTTCTTATTCTTATTCTTCTTATTATTATTATTATAGATTTCAGATTTAATTCGGTGTAAGAGTTGAGTGTATTGCATATAATTTAATAGGATGAAAGAAAATTATTTAAACAAAGTAATAATAAAAAACAATGAAATATGGCTCTTAAGCAGCCACCTGCCATGTGAACCTTCTTGGCTGGATTCAGCAGTTTCTCTTAGCTTCCTCTTCCCCGTGTCTCCTGACCTCACAGTACTCGATCTCCCACCGAATTGAGAGAGAGAAGATAAAGAATACAGAGCAGAGGAGGCAGACGGCAGCAAAAGAGAAGCCTTCCGACACAATCCTTCTTCTCCATAATCATTGCCGCATTTCTTCCACTCCAAGGCAAGAAAACAGAGTGGCAGTGGGGATGCAGGGCAGCGCCAGGAGGAGGAGCTTCACCAGGAATGGAGTGGTCGCGGGCTCCGTTTGGGAGGCGCGGATGAGGGTGGACGCCGTGAACGGCGGGATCAAGGTCTTCAACGGCGAGGAGAGCCGCGACGGCGACGGCGACGGCGACGGCAACGCCGACGAGGAAGGAATGCGAGTCTACCGCAGGCTACGGAGGAACCAGAGCGACAGCATCGCCGCCGGGCGGCGGAGGAGGATCTGGACGCCGCCTCCGTCATCGGCGTCCTCGATGAATGGATCGATCGGCGGAAGTCCGATCCCGCTGCACAAGGCGCGGTCGGAATTGGCCGAGGATTCTCGGGAGTTGGGAGGGGTAGGGCGGGTGCGGGTGCTGGCGATCGGCGACGGTAGCGAGGGTGTCGGTGGAGATGATGGGGAGGTGGAGATGGAGGATGAGGTGGGAAGGGAAAGCTTTGATGACAAGGAGATGGATCTGCCGGTGGAGAAAGGGAAGAGCGTGGAGGAGGAGGAGAAGACAATTAACCAGGTCCACGAGATTCCTGCGTCGTCGCCGCCGGTTGTCGAGAAGAAGCAGAATTGTGCTGAGATTGCGACCTCACCAGCTGCAGAAAAGCAAGAGCAGCAGCAGAGTCAGAGGGCAATCGATCCAGATCCTATCGAACCACCTCCTTGTAAGTTGTTTATTTCCTCAAGGATTGACGTAATTCCTTCAAAAAATACAAGAAAATAAGTAGAATTATACTGTCTCATCATCAGATTCAGAAAAGAAGAAGATGAATCACAGGATAGTTGACCCAGATCCTGTCGAACCACCTCCTCGTAAGTTCTTCTTTGTGCATTTCTGAAACCAGACGTAGGAAACAAGCAGGGTTTTACTGAGATTGCATCATCTTCAGATGCAGAAAAGAAGAGGATTAATCACAAGATAATCGATCCAGATCCTGTCGAACCACCTCCTCGTAAGTTGTTCTTCGTTATGCATATCTGAAACCAGATGTAGGAAACAAGCAGGATAGAACTTAGATTGTCTCATCATCAGATTCGGAAAAGAAGAAGATGAATCACAGGATAATCGATTCAGATGCTGTCGAACTACGTCCTTGTAAGTCCTTCTTCTTTATGCATTTCAGAAACCAGATGTAGAAACAATCAGGGTTGGACTGAGATTGTATCATCTTCAGATGCAGAAAAGAAGAAGATGAATCACAGGACAATCGACACAGATCCCGTCGAACCGCCTTCTTGTAAATTGCCTTTCTTCCTTGTTGCTCTTTTTTCTTCTTGATCTGACTCTTTCTTGGATTTTGCTGCTGACCAGTTGAAGGGGCAAAGAGAATGTTTGACAGCAAATCTGGGCACCACAATAGGTTGCAGAGCATTGGTGAGTTGCTACATCATCCCTAACAATCTGATACTTTTGTACAGATTTCTCATATCCCTACAAAAG